TCAGTCTGACCCCCGGGGAACCCAGCCCTCGATCCCTGCCTCCAGCCTGCACTTGGGGTGGGGCTACAGCCCGTGTTAGAGACCCAAACTTCACATAAAGCCTCCAAGTGATGGAGAATCCACCACGCCCCCGGGGTGGGCTAAAGCCATCTAATTATCACCACTTCCAATTGTGTATCTTAATTCCTGTCTGACCTTCGACCTCCCAGAGCGGCCAGTCCCAAGCACGACTTGTTCCCATACGTCCCTCAGTGGCCCGGAGCCACTTCTCCCCCCGGGCTGCCTTCAGGGGAACGCGGTTTGATGTGGGGGTGCTGCCTGCAGGCTTGGAGCCACACGCCCCCCTAGAGGGACAGTGACTCGCCGCTAACACCCGGGGCACCAGAGCGGGAGGGCGATGCTAGAACCAGACACACCGACCTGCCGCCTTTGCGAGGAGCGAAAGCTCTCAGTTGTGTATGAAAAATGGAACCTGTGAGAACGAGGGAAGGAAAATTGATACAAAAAAACCCCGTCGTGCTTAAAAATCCATTTTTAATATCTCCAGCCACATTTTAGCTCAAACTCAATTTTTCACCTAGAGGACAGGTCCTTATTTTTTAAAATATTCGTCCCCCTGCATCGCCTGCCGGATCTGATTTCTCCCCACACTCTGAGCGGCTGGGTAACGGCTCTTCCTAGGAAGGATTGGGTTATCAATTAGCCAGAACCAAATTTACTCAACCACTCGGCCCAGCCCCGTGGAAATCCTGAGCCTCAAGCCGGGCTTTGATGCTGAACATTAGCGTTAAATGGCTCCTCCCTTCAGGCATGCGGGAGATGAGCAGACAGGCGAGGCTGCAGCTGGGCCCAAGCCGCGGAGACCGTTCCATTATGCACCGGTGCAGGATTTCTCTGCATCAATCACTCACAGCAGTGGGGGCCCAGCTTCGTCAGTGGCACTCAGGCGGTACCAGCCCACCTCCATCGTGTGCGGCTCCAGGGCCCGGCCGGCTGGAGCCCCCAGTGCGGGTTAGGGCAGGAAGAACCCAATGGGAGGGCACCAGGGACCAAAGCGGGGGCACCTCCCGCTGCAGAGTGCAGGGAACGGGCCAGTTGTGAGAGCCGGGAGTCTCGGTAATGCCTAGGGCTGGGCACAGCTGGGATCCTGGCTCCAGGACACCACACTCGGGGATGTCGTCTAGTGATTAGGTCTAAGCCCCGGGTTAGCCTCCCGGGGTGCGAGCAGCCCACGGCCAGCCCTGCCCGAGTGACTGCGTCCTCACTGGTGCCGCGCTCCCGGGCGTGTTGCTGGCACTCCTGGGGGCACAGCCCAGGGTCTTGGTGCTGCAGTGAGCTGAGCCGCTCTCTGATTCTTCCCCAGTGAACTGTGGGAGAACTTGTCTGTCCCGGGCATGGGGGGGGGGGGGGTGGGAAGGCCTTGGAGGACTAGCAACATGCAAGTGGTTTAGCCTGCGTCTGCACTGCAAAGCAGGAGGGTTACCAGCCCCAGGGAATACAGCAGCTGGGCTCGCCTAGGGGGAGAGTTGTGTGTGTGGCTGGGAGGGGGCTTGGGAGCTGGCACTGCGTGACGACAGACCCTCGGGGAATGAGAGGCTGCAGGAGTCGTCTCTTGTGCCTGCTAGGAGCAGGGTGCTGCACACACAGGGAGGCCAGAAGCAGGGCCAGCAAAACCCCTTCGCTCTGCCCCACCACTATTCCTGGCTGGTTCGAGGGCAGGCCAGCGCTCCAGACCAGGCCCCAGTCAAACCCCCGCTCCCCAAAGCACACACACAGCCACTGCCCGTGGAAGCGAACATTCCCGTTTATTTAGCTCTCTGTGCTATGCCGAGACCCCCACTGACAGTGCTGGGCTCAGCGACGCTCCACAGGACATGTGGCACCCGCCGGCTGGCTCAGCGGCTGCCCTCGGCACTCATCCCAGAGCAGGCCCTGCTGCCGTCCCGTCATCCAGAGAAGGGATCTCGTGGCGGTCGATGGACAAGCTGAGACACCGCGTCAGTTGCCTTGGTCTCTGGAGGTGTCAGCCCTGCTCCCAGCCCCAGCCACCTTTCTAGGTGCAGCCTAAACTGAATCAGCAAGAGGGACCCAGTGCTCCAGTCCTCCTGAGCCCCCTCTGTGTGTGTGTGTGTGTGGGGGGGGGGGTGTTGCTGGTACCAAGGCCAAAGGAAGCAGCTCACGTCACCTTCAGCCAAGTGAGCCCAGCAGAACTGAAGCAGGCAGGGTTCTCCCCGGGACTCAGAGGAGATGGCAGTGCACCTGCTGCTGGCACTTCCAGCTCCTTTCACTTACACGCTGCTGAAGAATCAGATCACACCAGGCTGACCTGGCTTCGCCTGGGGCAGGCCGAGCTCTGGCTGCTGCTCGCCGGCCGTCCCGCTGACGCTGTCACACACAAACGAAGGAAAACGATACAAAACGCCTGGCTTCAGCTGCGACAAGCCAGGGAGCTCCGAGTCAAGGCGAACTGTCGTCTGCTCAGAGCAGCAGGAGCCACCGGACGGCAGCTGGTCTCCCAGGCCGTATGTTCTGCAGCCCCTGGTGCGCCAGCAGGGGGCTAAGGATCCGTTTTAGCTGGGACAGTTCCCTTGCCCATGGTGGGGAGATGGCTCATTAACGTTATTTCAACTTTTTAAAAACGCTCGTGTGGAAGCCGTGGCTCAGAGCGAGTATGGGTGAGTCACAGCCTCCCCTCACCTAGGCACTTTCTCGTTTTCTAGAAAAGGTGGATGCAGATGACGGCGCTGGCACTTCAATCGGGATCTGCTGAGTACGTCTGCAATGCGCTCTCACGCTGTGGAGCTGACGGGGCGCATGGCCCGGTTTGATTTCGAGGGCAGGCTGGCACAGCCATTGGCCAGCCTGGGAATCGGTGCAGAGGGACCGTTCTGAACAGGCTGGGTGCTTGAGCAGGTAAAGCCGAAAGGCTGCATTTCACACTGCCCCGAGGAGAGGTCTCTGCCCGGTCTCCCTAAGCGCTTTGCAGAGGCTGGAGGTGGGACCGGCCTATGAACTAACACCCTCCCATGCTTCCCATTATGCTGGTGCACGTATCTGACAGCCCAGGAGCCCCTGGCCGCTCCAGCCACGCCGGTGAAGATCTGGGCACTGAACAGCTGGGCCCGCTCGGTCACTGGGGGATGCGGAGAGTGGGGATCGCAGGCTCGGCTAGCCCAGCCCTCTGGGGACGGGGAGTCGTGGCAGTGCAGAGCCTCTGGGGGGTAATAAAGGGGGTGGGGGAGAGAGAAAGGGAGCTGGGTCTGCTCCCCAAAGCCCTGGGAACATCTAATGATTTGACAGGCCCGGCCTTAAGGCCAGAGCAGAGTGAAAGCGACTACAACCAAACTCGCGGAGCAGTGAGTGTCGTGGGGACGTTTTCCAGCTGAGAAATTCCTGAGAGCAGGCCCGGGCGGATGCCGGCGAGGGTAGGACCAGCCTGCAGCACGCACACGACCTTCTGGTGCCGCACGTCCCGGGCAGGCTAGAGGAAGCAGGATCAGACCAGAGCGACTCAGCCAAGTGCCCTGGAAGTGAGACCCCCCCATGCCTGGGTGCGATGAGCAGCTTCTGAATCCCAAGGCTGCTGGGCAGTGAGTTGGGCGGGGGACGTCTGACAGGGGCTCTGGGGGATCCATGCTAAACGCCCATGCAGCTCCCAGCACACGAGGGCTGCTCAGTGCCGGCCCCATGCATGTAGTCCCTGTAACGTGGGTGGAGAGGGGCAGGTTGCTTAGCCAGCCTGCCCCTTCCTGCGGGGGTGGCGGGAAATTTATTTTTCCTGCAGAGAAAGTTGAGTGATCTCTCCCAGCACATCTGGAGTGACCCTGCTCAGGGGAGGAAAGAAACCCAGCTCTGCTCTCTGCTTTGTGAATGTGCCCCCCCCCCGCACCCCAAGGGAATCTCTCAGCTAGTCCTCAACCGGAACTGCAGCCCAAGCAGCTCCCTACACCCATGGCATCCAACGTCCTCCCTGGCACCATGACGCTATTGCTCTTCCGGCGCATCAATGTCCCTGCTTCAGCTAAATCTGCCCCCCGCGTGTCTGGATGGGAGTGTCTCTCCGTGAGCACAGAGTCCTGCAGGAATGCCCGCACTGGAAGCTGCCCCCAGGAAGTGCAGTCCCTTCCGCGGGCGAGGGGCAGGTGGCCGCAGCTCGGTGGTGTTTGCGCCGAGACGGGTCGTTCTCCTGACAGCCCCGCGCGGCAGCTGAGCGGCTCTGGCTCAAGAGATGGTGGAGAACTCTTTCAGAAGGACCTCCTGGCTCAGCGTGTTGAAGGCAAGGTTCCGCCGTACGTTGATGCTGATGGACCGAACCTGGCGGAGAGAAAACAGCCATTTCATCCAGATGCCCCCGGCCTCCCGGTGAACGGGGCAGCAGCGACCCCACGGGGCTCCAATTTTCCACACCCTGGACAACTAACCTGTGGAAGTGGCTGCAGCAGGGTCTGATTGGGAGAGAGCTGAGCCAGGAGCACAAGCCGATTCGCTCTTTACATAAGCATGGCGAGCGTCTGCAGTGGCAGCCCGGCAGGGAGGAGAGAATTACAGGGGAGCGCGTGCGTCAGGCTTGGGGCAGAACCTGATCACCAGCTGCGTCTGAAGCAGAATCGTCTCACCAGATACATTCAGACCTGGTCTACACTAGAACCTGAAGTCAGTTTCACCACACCCCGAGTGGTGTAGTGACCCACTGACGAGACCCAGGGCAGCAAAGAGCCCCCCAGCCACATTCTGCAGCTCCCAGGGTCTGGCCCACGGAGCTCCCGACGAGCCGAACAGCTGGGCAGAGCCGCCAGCTGCCCAGGTGTTACCAGGTCACCTCAGAGTACCTGACTGACCCCCACTCTCTGGTGCAGGGGACAAGGGCTCAGCTCAGGGAGTCCAGGCTTCTGGGCTGGGGGCAGCGCACCACCAGGGGACCTTGGGGGCGGCCTGTCCGTGGGGTGTGGTCGGACCCACCCAACCAATCCAGAGCCTGCCATGAGGCTTGGGGGGGTTTTAGAAATGGGACCAAATTTGCGCTGGTAACGAGCTCAGATGAAGCCTCATTAGGCGGGCTGGAAAGCGGGAGAAAACTGAGCTCAGGCCGTCTTGTTCCTTTGTGGAGGAGAGAGGGGCCTCCCGTTACTGGATTGCGTTCACACGGAGAGCTCAGGTCCCAGGAGAACTAACGCAAGGATGGCGTCGTCGGAGCTCAGAGGGTGAACACGGAGCGACTGTAGGGGAGGGATTTTCAGGCCTTGGTTACATGGGAAAGTTGCACTGGTTTAATTTAAATTCAAACCAATATTGTCAAACTGCGTCTACCCCGTGTGGCACTCCTGTTTCGGGTTAAGAGCGCCTTTTTGGGGGTTAAATTTAAACCTGTTCCCAATTGACATGCAGCTTTTACCCCAGAATAAGAGTTTGCACACTGGGGCTTACGCTGCTTTAATTATTCATGCAATTTTCCTCCGGCGACAAGCCCGGAGTCAGACTGTCTAAAACTCTGGTTTGTGTCAACAGCTATTTAACGACAACCACCAGTTAACATTTTTGGGAAAGGAAGCTTTTGTTAAAGCCTCAACACACCCCTTGAGACCCCTAACAAAACCGGAGGGGGCTGGGGGCTCTGAGATTTCAGAGGAAAAAACAAAACCAAATATTTTCCAGGGGTCTTTTATCCACTGAAAGCCCAATTTGCACCCCCCACCCCACCGCTTTGTGTGACACCTTTTGCCACAATGTGACTGCAGCACCTCGGGCCTCTGAGGACTCGGTGCAAAGGGGATGGTAGAAGCCAGGCGCTTTTCCCTGCCATTAGTGAGAGAGGGTAGCGGAGAGGCAAAGGCCGAGCTGGAGGGGGAACACGGGTTTTTAAGCACAGAAGGACTACGCGGAGTTGTGCTCGCTGCTTCGCAGGGAGGAGCAAAGGGGACACGTCCAGAAGGCTGAAGAGAGAAGTGGCTCTTGTGCGTCACTTCCTGCTGAAAAAGATTCTTGCAGCAGGATGCTTAACACAGGGGCACAGGGTGAGTGACAGGTCACGTCACTAACAGACTGACTCAGCTCAGCAGGAGTACGGGAACCACGAGAACTGAGTGGTGCTGTCTCCAGTGCAGCTCCACCAGAGAGTGCAGCATGGGCAGGATGTGGCCGTTTCAGTGTGTGTCACATCTTGGCGTGGTGGTAAAACCCCCAAGTCTCAGCTCACCAGCAGCTTCCACCAGTGGAGTTACAGGCCATGTATTTCCCAGCACAGGCGCCGTTCCAAAGGGCCTAGTGAAGATCCAGGGGCTTGGAAGAGAGCCGGTTTTTCTGGGGCAGAACGGGAGAGCCAGGAACGGCACACCGGTACGTTTAACTTGAGCTCGTGGTATATTGTTAGAACAATTAGTAAAGCCATCAGTTTCTATGCACTGAGAGGAAAAATAATACGGTAGTGATGACAAGAAGGCTAAATGGGTTTGTCAAAGACAAATGGTACCTAATCAACTCGGTTTCTCTCAGTGGTGGGAGAACAAGCTTAGTGGAAATACAGCAGATTTTCTATGGCTGTTAGTCAGGAAGGTTTAATATGGCACCACGTGATATTCTCAGGGAAGCTAGAGAAATGGGGATTAAACAGATACACAAGTGGGTAAATTGCCACATTTAGACAGTAATTATCAATGCTCTCCTGTCTGGCAGAAGGAAGCTCCCAGAGGTACCTGTTCTGGGAATTTTCATAAGGGAGCTGGAGGAGGGACTGGATCATGCTAATCAGATTCTTAGAGACGACAAAACTGGGAAGGGCTGCAAATATTTTGGAGGACAGATGGTTCAAGAGAAAATCTTAGCCAACTGCAAACGCCGCCTGAGGTTCAGTCAGGGCCAGTGTAAATGGTCCAAGCTGGACGTAATCAGCCGGAGAAAGGCTGGAGAATGGGGAGGGGCAGCGGGTGGGGTGCGAGCTGCTGTCCCAGCACCTGGCTGTGCTGAGAGCCGAGTGTAGAACGCAGGAGGCCGTTACGCGGATCTCTCTGCACGGTGTGTTCACCCATCACACACACACACACACACACACACACACACACACACACACACAGAGGCAGGCGTTGAGAGGAGAGCAAAGGCCAGCCCCCCCCCCCCCCCCCCCCCCCGGCTTGTGATAAAGTGGGCAGGGAGCAGTTACTCATCAATCAGCCAGGACAGAACCAGCAGGAGAAATTAGTTGGAAACCAGCTCAGCGGTGGCGCAAGCTCCCACTGGAGTCGGAGGACTCCCCATCTCGGGAGTCAAAGCGGGATCCCAGACACCGCCCATGGACAATCAAACCAAGCCAGCTACGGCGCAGGCTCCTGCGGGATCCAATCAGGGGAGCTGAACCACTCGAGACCCAGCCCCGGGGGAGTTAGCCCAACCAGCTGGCTGCCTGGCGACCCTGGCCAACCAACCGGATTACTCCAAATCTAATCCTGCCTGGGTGCTGCTTGTGTGACTGTACACTTCCCCCATCCCAGCGCTCTTCTGCCTGGGAAAACCAGGAGAGCATTTCTCCCCTTTCCTGCTGGGCTCAAGTCCCCGCTTTGCAAGAGAGGGCGAAGGGCGGACGAGGACGAGGGTGTCTGGCCAGAGCTGTGCATCCTGCTCACTCTCGTGTTTCTGTGGCCCTATTACAGCAGGAAAAGTAGGTTAAGTTGCTTTGTCTGATGCCCCTGGCAGGCTTCCCTTTAATGCAAACTCCCCGTTGCACACTGCCCCGGCTCTCTGAGGGGAGAGGGAGACACAGATCGACTGGCCTGCGGCACGGAGGGGTTCAGAGGGGCTTTAGCCAAACCATGCTCAGCACTAGGTGTTCCAGGGCTTTTGGATCAGTGGAGACCTGCACTCTCCTGATTCTAACCCACTGCTGCCCCACCTCCCAGGGCCTACAACCAAACCCTCCTCCAGTTTGCATGCCCAGAGAAGAGGAATGGCCTGGCTAGGCTGTGACTGTATGCTGAGCCGGGGCCGGAGGCTGGGGGAGTGAGGTGCTGGGGGTTGTACCCAGGAAGGCAGCTCACCAGTTCTTTGAAGAAGGCAGCCTCCTTGTGCTGTTCCGAGTAGCGCTCGTACTGATCCAGCCCGTCCTGAAGCTTCAGGGTTAGCGTGTCGTAGTTAGAGCGGACAACCTCCAAGACCTGCAGATGGCATCAGAACGAGAATGGAGAGTCAGTGCCCAGGGACCCAGGCCCGGAGCGAAAGGGGCTGGGAGAATTGCAGCTCTGGCTCCTGCTTTAGCCACACACACAAGGGGACAGACACGGGGAAATCCCTGACCCGAAGGCTAAGGAGCAGATCTAAGAGTTCGGGGACCTCCCCACTTGTGAAAAAACACAAGACAGTGGAATTCCCGCTAGTGGGTCGCACACAGCCCTGCATACTGCAGCCTTCAGGCCAGCCACCGTAGCTACTTTTCCTGATGACCACGAGCTCGTGAACTTAAGGGGTTGGGCACTTGCCTCTCTCAGCTCTGCCCCAACCCCCTGCTGCTCCAGTTCAGGGCTCCCCACATCCTGCGCTGCCAAGGCACCTCGATCCCGACGCTCAGCCCCCTGCTACGCTCATCCCACAGATTCTCCCTGCACCAGGCTCAATCTGCCTTACACTCCAGCCGTGCTGCGCGTCACATTGCGCGACTCTTCTGTGCTGGAGACACACGTCTGGTAGGCGCTGGGATAAGAGCAAGGCTGTTGTGGGGGTTACTGTGCTGGCCTTTACACTCGAGAGCTACCTTTTATCACACCCCCTTTGCCGCCGCTTGGCCACCCCATCATTAGTTGTTATTTGCATTCCCATAACACCCAGGAGCCCCAGTCACGGCCCAGGCCCCCCGTCGCGCTAGGAGCTGTACAGACGATGCTACCTGCCCCAAGGAGCTTACAGCAGTTTACATTTCAGCTCTTCCGTCTCTCCTTCTGACACACAACTAAAACTCGCACGGGCTCATGACACCCCTCTCGACATCTGCACGATTCATTTCTCTAGCCACGAAGTAGCCCCCCTCAGTTCCTCACTCACTGCTCTCTTGCAAAGCGCGGCGCGGACGCTAGGAATCCCCCTCAGGAGGTAGTTAAGTAGTGATCGTTCCCACCGCACCGATAATCGCCTAGCAAGAGACACGGCCTTTGTGCTACTGGGCAAAACGTACACAAAACAATTCTCTCTGAAAAACGTCCTTCGCAGGCTGCTGCCTTGTCTGATCTCGCTGCTGAGCGGGGTCAGAGCTTCATTACTGACACGATGTGTGCCAGGATCGGGAGCCTGTTGAGCTGGGAGCGATACAGACATCTAGGAAGAGACATCTTGCCCCGAAGAGCTGCCAGCCTAAGAGGAGAAGGGCCAGGAAAGGTTGGGAGAAGGGATCAAACCTACAAGCAGAGCCCTGCACGGATACAAGACCTGTATCCGCATCTGATCTGATCAAACGTGGTCTGCGGATATCGGCAGATTTGCACCTACACATCCAGCAGCCAGGGAGGCGAGATGCACGTTGCTCAATCCTTTGTCTGTCGGACTATACACAAGACATCCCAAACCGCCCCTTTACCCAGCTAGCAGCCTTTCCCCCTGGCCGTCTGAATGGCCACTATGCCCTTCGGTTTTTGCTTACTTAGGGTTCTTTAGTGCTTTTATCCCCTGCTTGTTTCCCCCTAGACTTTATACATGGCGCTGAGATACTCCGATAGGGGCATTCGCAACGTACACTTCCTAGTGGCACTGGACCAAACCCTCAAGTCCTTACTCATTCAAAGAGCCGTAGACTTCAGTGAGCGCCTAGCCGGAGTGAAAGCGGTGGGAAAGCTGGCTAGGATGCAGGTCACGGGTTAGCTGCCATGCCTGGGGCCTACGACTGGGTCACAGACGCCTGGAGGAAAGGGGAAGGATAAACGATGGTGTTCTGCAAGGCCACTTCAGAACAGTTGGTCAGTGTCCGCTCGCCGCTCGGCCAGTTCAAATGGCCTCGTCTCTTAATCCTGTGTCGGGTTTCCTGGCAGAGGGAAAGAATCCCCCAGTCAGAACAACCCTCGCCCAATGAATCAGGCCCTTTCGTGCACATGTGCGGAGGCTGTGGACACAACAACGAGCATTTCTGAGCCATGAGCTCTGGTGAGTGGAGCAGGCCTCGGAGGAGGAATACTTGACCGTGGGAGTGTACTAGGCACCGGTACCAGCACAATACACCTTTCTCCAAGCAACAGAAGAGAGCGTCCCTGAACCCACGAGCTGTCCTCTAGCCAATCGGAGGAGCTCAAGCCACCCAAGACAGACAACGGACAGGAGACAAACTCCACCCAACAGGCAGAGTGGGACGGCTGGAGACGCACACTCGAGGGCTGGGCATTTCACATGTGCACTAAGTTTCCACTGATTTCCTTGGGCTCCTCTTTGATTTTGCTTTGTGCGCTTGTGCCCAGGCTGGGGGTGAGCACGTGCATGCAGAGGCAGCGGGGACAGGAGTGTTTCGCACGTGCCTTGTGCGCACACAATGGCTGGCTAGCTTTGAGTTGAGTTCTCGTCATCACATTCAACCCAGTGGCCTCCTTGAACAGCCAAGAGACGGTGACCCTGACCTCTGCAGCTGGGCAGATAAGTGCTGCACAGCCGTGACTTGGGCAATCCGCTTCCATGGCATATGCCAAACAGGCAAAGAACGCAGCTTGCTGCTCAAATGGGAGTACGGGGAGGGATCAGAAGGCGCTGCAGATAAGCCCATCAGTCCCTGCTGTATTACCAATGCAGGATCACATCTTCGCCCTGCAGTGAGCTTCAGAATCAGATCATCTCTTATTTAAATATTTGAGTTTGCCAGCTTTCCCCGGCGCTCTCCTTTTAATTAGCAGCTCAAACTTCGAAAGAGGGGTGCAGTTAAAAATAAACCTCTCCATCTCCTGCTAATTTCCCTCGCTCGCTGCCGATGGAAGAAAACCTTTCGTGGGCTGTCTCGGAGAGAAACCCACTTACAGATGGCTTCCCTTCATAACCTGTAAGGGAAGGGAATTGTTAGCAAGATTACTGCTTGCCAGGCCTGAGCCGGCCTCATGCTCTCTAAGAGGCGGCTGAGAGACAGGGCCCTGGGGAAGGGTTGAAAGGAAGGACAGGTATTAAAGGTATCAAAGAGGAAGGTTTGAAAGGCAGCAGGGAAATCTTTCTACAGTTTCTTTAGGCGCCGTTACGATGCACCTCCCCTGCCTCACCCGCTTCCTGCTACCTACTCGCAGGGCTGGGAGGGGAATAAACCCCTCTTTGCTCTGGATCCCCGAGGGCGTGTGACGCTTCAGGAGTCTCAGCAGGCTGCATCACTGGTTTCTCTCTTGGCGCCTCTGGCACATTTCCTGGGCACTGACTCTCCATCTGTTCCGTCTTCTCGGAAGTGGGGCTCCTCAGCCCACCTGCCGTAGGCTTCCAGGGCCAGCACTGACCCCCGGGACGCCGCAGCTACTCGAACACGCCCTTCCCGCAAAAGATGTGAAGCGTTTGGTTTACTGGTTAGTGCGCTCAGGGGCAGGCAGGGCTGCGAGGCAGTCATCACACACACACACACACACACACACACACGTCACACAGTCTAACACCTTTCTGCTCTTTCATACTCAATCACGTACAGCACAGATCACAGAGAACAACGCACATCTGGCACACGTCCCTGCCTCCCTTCCTGCATCACTCCAGGGAGTTCTCTGGGCTGGGCTCCAAGTCCCTTGGGTTGTCCAGAGTCCTTGGAGCCATGTGGGCTCAGCAACGTGGGCAGGAGCGCACCGCCATGAGGCTGCCCACGAGGCCCCTCATCCAGCTTCTGTGTCCCTGCTGTCTCCCGACCCCACGCTTCCCTTTTCTTGTCTGGCCCCCATTCTTGTGTTTCTTTAAACCCCTCCCGGTCACGTGGCCGCTTTTGTTCGACTCCTGCTAAGTTTCCACTGCTCCTACCAGCTCCCACCCTTCAGAGGAATCGGCTAAAGTGGTTTTCTAAGGATGCTGCTCATCCAGCGTCCCAGATGTTTGCACCTGGATAGGGTCGTTAAATCCCAAGCCCCTTCTAGTGTATCTGTCTGGTGCATACCTACTACAAGCCTCCTCAGAAGGGAGGGTCCACGGATATGTAGGCACTCACGACACAGCAAATTTTCATACCAGAACTTCCCATTATCCATCGGAATCCACAGCGTGTACGGATCCAGCCCCAACTCATCACCCCCTGCCCAGCACAAGCTTGTGTCCGATGTACGTCACTGGCGCATCCTGCCTGCAGCCCTCACAGACTGCTGCTCAAGGAAACCACCGCAGAACCACCCTCTTCGCCTTAAGGGCGCCCAGCAAAAGGGGAAAACTTGAGGTGGGGCCTTTCCTGCCTCTTTCGGTTGGCTCCGGAAGGGCCCTTTCTCTCTCCTTGGTTTTGTACATTAGCCATTCAGGACCTGTCTGACCTGGTCTTCCTGGAAGCCGGGATGGAAGGCTGGAGAAGTGGTAGGAGGAGAACATTACACATACCTTGCAAGTGAAACCTGAACAATGGAGAGGGGATGGGCTCTGTAGCTGGGTTCAAACTGTTTTGTTCAACAGCTGTTGAATTACACAGTTGACAAAAACACATCTGCAGTGTCGAGTAAGAGCTGAGCAAGCTCCCACTCGAGATCTTCGGTCTCCAACGAGACAGACCCTCAGCAAGGAACAGAACAGACAAGACTTGATACGGCTCAGATTGCCGAGGTAAAAATATAGACAGAACTTTAATCTTTTTTAGCCTTCCTTGCTCTTTAGGCAGGAGAAAGCCGAGGAAAAGGCAGGACAAATCCTGGCTTTCAGCTTTGTTCATCACCATTAAAGGGATGAAAGCTCAGCGTGCTGGAGGCAGGCCGCAGGAGAAATACAGACCCGGTCCTGTACACGGAAAACTAGGGCTGCTGAATCCTTCTCACTTGTGACTATTAACGCTCTGGGCTGCACTCGCCTCTCACATACACCAGCGCCAGGCCCCTGAACTCACTGGAGCTGTGCCAGCCTGATGGAGGGGACAACTTGCCGTCAGAGTTAGCTCTCTGTCCCACCTCTCGCTCAGACGCTGCTTTACGGAGATCCCAGAGCAGCATTCAGGTTTCAGTCCACTCTGTACTCGTGTGTGCATGCGTGTGCACATGAGACG